TTCCATTAATATCATTTTGTGTATAGAAAATATCTATAATATTTTCTAAATATTATTAGAAATAATTTCTATAGAAATATACAAGATTATTATTATCCCAATTTTAATCTTTATATTTTATACTACTATAATCTTTACTAGCATAAAGATTGTGGTAGACTCCGGCGTTGTTCGTGTGTCAAAGTTGGAGACCGGATGCTTGAACGGTTACGTTTGCACTTTCAACGCTCTTCCTACGACTTCTTCGTTTTTACCGCTTACGAAGAAAGGTACAAATTTCTTACTACTATAAGTTTTAGTACGTGATTCTGGGCAAGATAATCATGTTAGGATGTTAAAATTTTTATATTCCGCTGTCTATCCTTGCATGGTTACCTTTCACAGATATGTTCCTCATTCCTTTGGGAAGTTGTGATGTGGTATTGGGAGTTCAATGGCTAAGCACTTTGGGAACTATAAAATGGAATTTTAAGGAACTACAAATGGAGTTCAATTTTAAGGGGAAGGGTCATGTACTAAGGGGACTGCAAGGCCCTAAAGTTAAACTCGTAGAAGGTTCACAGCTGCCTAAGGTAATGGGCGAGGCTTGTCATCTTTGTATGATCCAAGCTGTGATTCCTGACGAGTGGCAGTGTCTGACTACTTCTGTTAAGAGCAATCATGTGTGGATAACTGAGTTGTTAGAGCAATGTGCAGATTTGTTTGAAGATCCTACTCGACTACCACCCATGAGAGGCCCATTTGACCATAGAATTCCTCTCAAACAAGGTGCTACACCCATTAGCATCAGACCTTACAGATATGCACTCAAACAAAAGGATGTAATTGAGAAATTGGTTGAAGAGATGCTAGATAGAGGGATAATTCAACATAGCTGCAGCCCATTTGCATTTCCAGTGGTGTTGGTAGGAAAGAAAGATGGAACATGGAGGCTATGTGTGGATTATAGGGAACTTAACAAGCAAACTATTAAGGATAAGTTTCCTATACCACTGGTTGAAGAACTCATTGATGAGTTAGCAGGAGCCAAAGTATTCAGCAAGATTGATT